TCTTAATTGTTCCCAATTTATTAACGTACATATATATAGCGGTTACGGGCATTTTAGAAATGTCAATTTATCCTTATTTTCTAAATAAAGGTGAAAATTTTGAACCCGAAAAACAGCGATTTCTAGAAAAAAAGTCCTATCAACCACTTACCTTTTTAAGTGTATTTTCTCTTCTATATTTCTTCATTTTCAGAGTACATAAGGACTTTTAAAATTGTCTCTTTGCATATCTAGATTCCAATTTCAGAAACTGATCATATGAGCCCGACTTGTGGTGTGGCATCATTAAAGTTACGAGTCCAACTTTTTTTTGTTCTAGTCAAATTAGTGCACCCGTCGGTGTGTGTTAGGCGTGTCTGGCATCCCTTGTTTTCTTGTGGTTGTTGGGTCAGATTGCTTTTCTTTGTGGAATTTGAACGTGAGTTGTATTGTTGTTTAGCTTAATTTGGATGTATAATTATATTATAGTCTTTCGTTTTATTTGCCAGAAAAGAAAAATCATGAATAAATTAAGAATTAAAAATATCATGCTTTTACTAATTTATAATCGTAATTTTGGCAATGGTATAACAAAGCGTGTGATGAGAGTACTTCAAAGGATTTTATAAACATAGATTTGTCATAAGTTCTGTTCAAGATATATATATATATATATATAGGAAATAATTAATAATTGTGGCACATTACATGTGATTATTGAAATTTAAATAATTTATTTCATCCCAAATAAATACCATATTTAGAAATTCTCATTTTGATGCCTCACATCAGTTAAATACGCAGCATAATTTTTTTTTTAAAATGCATTTTTTATTTCACAAATAACCTATACCTCATCCTTTATAAGCGTAGAGCTTCTTACCTTAACTTCAAATCTATCCAAGAGATCGTGCTTGGAGAAATAAAAAATTGCCCATTCTCTTAAGCATTATGGTCGGATTAAACATATTTTTAATTATGGTAATTTTGCTTCTGGCGAGTAGTGCATTTTCAATGGATCTTGTGGTTGAGTGCAAAAAATATTTTAGTATAAAGTATGCATGAGACGTGTATACCTATATTTTCTTAGGACGGGTGATTACTAACAAAAGTTGCAAGACTCTTGTAGCATTGGGAAGACTGTGCCATTTTATTCTTGTGAATAACACCTTTGCACATGAACACTATAAACAAAGATGAAATTTTAGAAAGAACTGTCCGAGTTTTTATTCATTCTGTTTCATTGCAACTTCCGCCCCACCTGCTTCTTCTCCTTCTTAGGCAGAAAACTAAATGTGAGATCTTTTCAATGAGTTAGAGTACAACATATTTGCTTCGATGCTCATTTTGTGACGACACCATCTATTGGTGCGCCATTAATTTTTGAGTGATGTTAAACCCACTCCATTGTCCTATTTTCCTACCCACCTTATTATCCCACTCACCATAAAAAATTAAAAACTTAACATTTTATTTCCCCATCCACTGTTATTCCTAAAATAACCTTTAAACACCACACCTCCAAGAACCAACTTTGCACCAAAATCAAGATTGCAAATCTCTGAACAAACCCAGAAATTAACTTGTGAAAAATTAAAAAGGGTGAAAATTTACAACCTTGAAAGCCACATAGTCATTGGTTTTGTTGGAGTCAGATGCGAATACAACCAATCTTGTTTTATTCAAATAAAAATGAACCCTAGCTCGAAAATTGATTAATTCCAAAATTAATTCGAATAGAAAATTGACAGTGGAAACAAATAGAAATCATAAATAGACAAAAAGGGTAAAAAGGGATATTGGGTGAGGAGAGGTTCCGCTATTTCAGTGATGCAATTTGGATTGTAGGTGACATAAGATTTGGGTTGGGGAGGAGAGAGGGAGGTCGAAGGAGAGGGAGAGATTTGAATGATTTGAGACTGGTTTCCGAGATAGAGACGGGAAGAAACAATGTAATGGTTGGTGGAGAAGCCGAGAAGAGAGAGAATGGAGAAGGGAGAGGCGGTGGGGGAGATAAACATGTAGGGATTTAAAAGTCTTTTCCTAAAAGGATATTCATGTTTTTGAAATTTTTATTAAAATGTGGATGGAAAAATAGGACAATAAGGTGAGTTTAGTAGCTTTCTAATTTTTTTTATTTATAAAACTTGTAGTACTCGTCTCAATTTAGGTATTATGAGACTATTGTCGGTAATATGGCTACAAGCGAACTTTCTTGTTACTGTCATGTGTCTCTGTTGTTCTCGAATCTAAAGTTGAGAAAGACGAAACCTTCCCATATCGTATATCGACGGAAATTTGAACACAATAATGGTTAAATAGGTTTATAAAAGATTCTAGATTAACTTTGTAAGAATAATAAAAGCCTCAAATATATTAACATGTCATCTATACAAATACCACAGTTTTTACCACTATTTACATGTCTGCCATCTTAAATGTTAGAACTGCAACCTCAACAATTTTGTTCTTAAATATTAGATTCGTAACAGTCAACATTAGAGAGCGGGAGGCTGTTTCATCCGGTATTGAAGCCGTAATCAATGAAAATGGGAGGCTGTTTCATCCGGTATTGAAGCCGTAATCAATGAAAATTTTCAAATTTTCAAACATGCTGTCTACTCTCACAAACATGCTGTTCTTTTGTCATAAGCATAAGCTATATGGTGTGGAATATGTGTTTAGCTGTCAAAATCAACACACACGGGGTGGTAATTGTATAGCTTGTTTCGTATGGTGTGCATGTTCTGGTCCTATAATTTTCTTTGTTTTAGCAAGAATTGATTTTTACAATGCACACCATGTGTTTGTTGAAAGGCCTCTGTGGAGATTTTGTATATTTTGGTGCTTGTTTCATTCGGTACGGTCAGTTAGGTCCTCACCATTCGGTACGGTTAGTTAGATACACTATATGGTTTCCGTTACGGTAATTTTCTCTACATACAAATTAGTTCCTTTCGTTTATCCTTCGACTCATTTTCAATTTATTGAGTGCAGGACTATTAAAAAAAATGAAAGCATTTGAGTAAATGAGATTGAAAACACTGCAAAATTGCAAGTAGAATAGGATGTGAAGCAGAGTGATGAAAGCTCATTGAAAAATAGCGTATTGTGCATCTTAGTTGGGAAGGGAATGAGGATATGGCCTAAAGACTTTGCTGGCTGTGCAATGCCATCATATATTTTTGTAATTTTTGTACGGTCCCTTAGGTTTGGAATGGGCAGTTAGGTACGTTGTGTATGTTTAGGTCCTCTCTATTTGGTACGGTTAGTTAGGTCCCCTCCATTTAGTACGGCCAATTAGGTTCCCTCGTTTAGGCATTTATCTATACCTAGGGCAATATAGGTAAACTAAAAATACAACAAATTTGTAAAAAAATAATTAAATATGACATGGACTATAAAATCTGACGTGGACAGTCAAATGACTAATTTTAATTTTTAATCTTCAATACGGTATTATTGAAAAGTTAATCTTATTCAGGGATTAAAATGATGTTATACACACACACACATATATACACATATACATATATATACACATATATATATATAGTAGAATCTCTCCTTTTTTGTCAAAAGCTTAATGCATGCACTAACAATAGGTCTTAGTTTAAGATCAGGCGTGCTTTTTATGAGAGTAGAGGTCTATTAATTATACTATGAAATAGTTCCCAATTGGAATCTAAATAGGAAACTAACCTTTTTTTTTTCCCTTGTTGAATGCTAACTGACACGATAAGATCTGAATATACCTTTTTTAGGTCTAGGTTTAGTTGTTTTTGGCTTTCCTTGTCAATGACTAAGTGTTTCCTTTGTATTTCTAAATCACACAAGTTCAAACCTCAATTATGTTAGATGATTTAGTTCTTAGGGATCTTGCAATCCAAGAAGTTCAAGTTGATCGTGTGAAGATCTCAAATTATGGCTTTATTGGAAGGTTTGTTCATGCATATGCATTTCATGAGTTTCTTAAGCATTTTAACTAGTGAATAGTTGTCTAGTCATCTGATTTGTAAGTGAATCTAGCACACTTTTTAAGAAAATCCATGTGGGCTTGTCTGACTCCCTACACTCGATGGTGAGTTTGTCACCCTTGATTTCTTCAGATGAAGTCCTTGTGTGTTGTTTTTCTGCTAAACCAGAAAAAAAGCATCTTGATAAAACCTTGGGGTGGTGGTTGTTTGTTTTGGGTGGTTCGAAATTCATCTTCATAGTGAGGGTGTTTTGTTTTTGCTTAGAAACTCTAGAATCATAGAGCATTTTCATGGATAAAGTTCTTCATTGAAAATCTTAAAATTATCCTTGAAAATTCTTGCTTAAATCTTTCTTTTCAAGATTATTTATTTTTTGTTGAAAAGGATCATCTTTGAATTGTTCTTTGTTTTCTAGCTATTCTCCTTTCTTCGTTCTTATTTGAAAACCCTAGTTGCAAATGATTTTCTCTTGCTTAAAATTGGGTGCTAACTCACCAAAATCTTCCATGAGAATGTTCGGTTAAAGTAGTGTAGTCTCAAGCATATTTCAAAATCCTCTAATAGATCTCTATATGGGATTCTCAGTTGATTTCTTCATTCTAAATGTTTTGTTTGAAGAAGCTAACTTTGTAGTTTCGAATCTAAATTTGCATATCATATTTCCATATCATTTTCACAGTTTCGTGTCTCACACCAGTGCCACATGAGATGAGCTCAGAAGATGGAGCTACCAGGTTTATGAAGACCGAGCTTAATGCTCTTAGGCATGATTGAAGGTTGCACAAACATACAAGCTGCTTTTTAAATTGGTTTTAGCAATTTGAGCTTGTGTGGTATGCATTGTACGGACCTTATTTTCATTAGTGGACCGAAGTCCTTGGGGACCCCCGTTTTTTAGCCCACATAGGATTTTTTCGGTCAGAAAACCTATTGTGTTAATATTGAATTGTTCTTCATATACTGGTATTTCTGCTATAAGTTGTGTATGTCGTTCGTGCCTTGTTATGATGCATGATTAAGTACAGATTGAGTTGTACAAAAAAGGATCCCAAATGTGCCTTTATATATTTACATAGGCAACTAAACATTCCTCGGGTTTCAAATGCGTCTTTTTAATTTACAATATCACACACTTTCTATATCACACTTGATATATAGCCCTGAGTCATCGAGACTGCTCAGCTTTGAGATTATTTCTGATTTGCAGTTGCAGTTGGAGACGATTTCCTGATATTCCCAACTCTGTGACCATCCATTCTAGCTTTACCAAAAACCCCATTTCTAGCAGATTTTGGTGATGCCGGCCAATGTCCACAAGCGACGGCCATATCTTTCAAGTTTTGAAGGCTTTCAAGAGTCTCGATAATGGTTGGCATTTTAGGCCTGTCTTTAGGGTTCATACTTATGCATTGTAATGCCAGATGGGCAATCTCCTTTGCTCCCTTGACAGAATACTGGCCAGCAAGTCTTGGGTCCATAATATAGCGCAACCTCCGACTACTGCTAGTCAGGTAAGGTTTTGCCCAATCAATCAGATTTTGCTCGCTCTTTGGTCTCGACTTATCCATTGCTCTTTTTCCTGTTAGCAATTCTAGCAGCACCACTCCAAAGCTGTAGATGTCACATTTTGTTGTCAATTGCCCTGAAAATTTGAAATTCATCCAAATGTCAATGTATTTGATCAATGAAATGGGTCTTTGAATTAGACTCAGTCGACCCATCTAGTTATTAATTGATGTTATCATCTCACTATGATAAGTTTTTAATATAAGACAATAGTCAAAGGAAGTTCCCATTTTTCTAAAATATTCTAATGAACTGGATTGAAATCTACTTTTCTATCAAATATTAAATCATCAACTAGTTAATTCGTAAAGTTAAACAGTAACCCTGGATAGAAATTCTTAATATAACCTAACGCAATTTCTTTCTCTGCATACGAAACTCCTCATATGCACACTTCATTGCACTAAAAAAGCAATTCTAAACGGGGCTATATGTACTGAAGAAAAAAGTTGGGAAGTATGTGTGTGTGTGTATATATATATATAGCATTTTCAAGTTCTACCTGTTGAGACATATTCAGGGGCAGCGTATCCATAGGTACCCATTACTCTTGTTGTGACATGCGTTTCTGATCCTTCAGGCCCCATCTTTGCAAGTCCAAAATCTGACAGCTTTGCCGTGAAATCCTACCAAATACAGAGAAAAATGCAGCTTATATAATACTTAAATACCCTGGAATTAAAAGTAGGTTTTGTTTTTGTCATTTTACTATAGCTGTATATAAAAACTATAAAAATAAAAAGAAATATTGCACTTGTCGTCAAATATTCATTTCGTAAAATGACTTTCTGAGATTGTCAATAGTAGCTCCCTCTATGTCTCGAGTGCTACACTTACAGAATCTACCAAGACATTTGAAGTTTTGAAATCCCGGTATATAACAGGTGTCTCAGCTCCATGCAAGAAAGCAAGGCCTTTGGCTGCTCCTATTGCAATCTTTAGTCTTGTGGCCCAAGGCAATGATACTGCAGAAAGCCCTGCATTCACAGCAGATAATAATTATATAAACCCTAAACTGTAATTAAAAATAATTATAATTGTTGGACCTGGAGATATTATGCAAACGCACTTTTGAATAAGTGATTCTCTAAGCTGCCTCGAGGCATAAACTCATAAACAAGGAGTCTTTCTTCGTTCTCGCAACAGTAGCCAATCAATTTCACCAAATTCTGGTGCCTCAGCTGCCCAAGAAATATCACTTCTGCCTGCAACAAATTAATGAGCTATGAATAAATTTGTCAAAACTTACCAAAACTTAACTGGAAAAGTCTCTTTTTCTTTTCTTTTCTTTTCTTTTTTTTTTTTTTTTTTTTTTCAAATCAAATCATTTTATTAGAGATGTGCTTCCTATTGAGATTTGGCGATTAGTCCACATACAACTCTTTATTTATTTATATGAGGACGCTTTAGTCAATATCTTCTAAAAGTTTATATGGTTTGCTTGCTTTTGGCCTAGTTAGCTTCTTTCCTTTCTCTTTTACTTTTGGTCAAGGCCTAGATAAAATAATTGAGGTGATTTTTACACATTAATTTTAACTTTTCACATATGTCTCCTTATTTATAGTATTCAAACTGAATTAAATTAAATAAAAATAACAAACATGATTAAAATAATTACAGGAACCTTTAACGAAGAAAAAACACAACCGAAAGGACTAATGACTAATAAGAAATCGTTGGTTTAACCTAAGTTGTCAGACAATCCTTCTTATATTATAAAAGTTGAAACTCTTTATAAAGATCATTTCTAAAAAAACAATTATTCGAACAATTCAAAAATGATCATTATTAAAAATAGTAACCGTTATCGTTATTTATTAAATTAACCTTATCTTTTTTTAATCGGTTATATATGGTACGTAGTAATATTATTTTTCTCAAAATTGCTGTTCTTGACAAACTATTTGTATCATCATTTATAACATCTCTCTAATAAAGATGGACTCAGATGTTAGAAGCCTCACCTCTATTAGAGAGATAGTACAATTAAATGGTAAGTGTACCATATTCTATTTTCCTTCACATGTCTTTATCATGGCAGAAAATATATAGTAAAATTAAAAAATCCTTACGAGCCATTCGCGGTGTCCTTGTAGGCCTTCAATGTCGAGGAGCTTAACGGCAACGGCCTGAGCCTTCAAACCCTGCCTCAAATTCTCATCAACATAACCCTTATGCACGGTTCCAAACCCACCTTCTCCAAGCAAAAAATTGACCGAAAAATTCTGAGTCACAGCACGCAGCTCACTCAGTTGAAAATCATACAAGTCCGACCCAAAAGACTGTGCAAGATCCTCGTTGATCCTTATGGACGAAGAACGGCTGAGATCAGAAAAAGACAACCTCCGGAAGGATGGCAGTTGATGAGCAACATCCTTGGAGAGATCAGACCTTGATGGCCTACACCTGCTGAAGTTGCGAAAGATTGTTTGGTCTTCAGCTGAACAGCAGTTTGCTGTGAATGGTCTCCAAGGCTTTGAGTGCTGCTGCTGCCGCCTCGTCATTATTGGGGGAGAAGAGAATAGTTAGTGGAAAGAGATATGCGTTTGATGCAAATAATACCACCTGAACCATGGTTTCTTGTTCTAAAAGTGAGCTAATTTAACAGAGAAGGATGTGTACTTTCTTTCTTCAACTGCTCTAACCACTCTACTAAATGGGGGAATTGTATTTCGTTTGCAATCTGCTTCTTTAACATTATCCGTACTTGTCATTTGTCTTTTACGTAATGTCTTCTTGTAGAAGTTAGAAGATATTCTGCAATTGAGTAAATCTTAATCTTTCTTTTTCTTTAGGGACACACACGGTATGACCAAATTTTGCATCAAACCCACTTTTATCTGCGTTAGAACCAATCAAATAGAGATGATAATATATATATTGAATTTAACTATATGATTAAACCCCAATACAAATAATTAAATGAAGTTGTAAACAAAATCTCAACAAATATCACTAACTTGCTTTCGGAAGATAGAGGCTTGCAAGGTACATATTATATAGTCGAGCCAAGTCGAGTACAGGATGCTCAAGCTCCACTCATTATGGGAAGGTATTTAGTTTTAAAACATGACAAAGTTACCCATAGTCACATATGGGCATGGCTTAGGCTTATCCATGTGTTGATAATATGATTGTATTTGTAAAGTCATTTATGATGATACTTGTAAGTCGCGTCCTGCGCAGAGTTGCATTTGCTTAATGGGATTGGGATAGTAGCCAATGCCACTACGCTATTGCCAACAATGAACATGTAGCTTGAGGCCCATTTCACAGTGACCACCACCACCAATTCGTTCTGCTTCTTCAGTGGGTGTAATGTTTGACACAAATCGTAGTCCGTCGTCCTCACTTCCAGCACATTATGCACCGGGCTCAGCCTGAAACCTGCCTCACACCGACACCAACGTGTGATCAAATTTCAACTTCAATTTCAAATATCTTATATCTATTCACAATTAAATCATTACATACAAGCAACCAGATTCAGACACAACTTCATTAATCCCAATATCTATCAGTACACCCAATTAACAAAATAAATTTATGAACAAACAGCCACCGCCGCAGCCCTATTCATGGATTTCAACTAAATCGCTACCAAATACAGAATACAAACTTGAAGTAATCGTCCATGGATGAAATGCGGCTAATTAAATACAAAGGATAATCAAGATTACATACTAAGAAAGTCGCCCACACGGAAAGTGGTGCGATTAGCCCATGCTTGGATGTCGGATCTGAGATCCCAGCCGGATGCTCCGTCAACAGTGTGGTTGGTGTGAGTGGTGGCGATTGCAGAGACGCTGTAGTGAAAAAATATCAGCACTATGATCGCCTTCACAGAAAAATCAGCGGAGATACATGCATTTTCTAATTTGTTAACTACAGTAATCGATCAAAGATACATCATAATATCCAAATTCTAGAAGAAATGGAGAAAAAACTACTGCAATTTTCTCAGGAAAATGCACAAACACTTGGTAAACACACGATCATGAACGAAATAAACGAGAATTAGAATATAAACTAATAACGTAATAGATTGGAGAAGCTGAATTACGCACACACTTAACGAATTAATGAATATATCTAAGAAAGAACTGAACAGAAGAAATTAGCAAGAACAAACTGAAATCGAACGCATGCAAGTCAAAACTAAGTACGTAGCAGAGTAACTTTCAACAAAAATCAGCAAGAAAAAACTGAAATTGACGCCAATTCAAGTCAAAGTGCAGTACGTGGCAATTTTCTTAGGAGATTATGCAATTTTCTCCAGAAAATGCCCAAAAACTTGGTAAACACGTCATCATGAAATGAAAGAAACAATAAATTAGCAAGTCAAAATGCAGTACGTACTTGCAGTTGTTGATTTCTTGTGATGGTAAAAGAAAATCGATCAAGCAGAAGAAAGTTCTGGAATAATTGAGAAAGTGAAGCGAATTGAGAGCAAGTCCAGCCCAGCACCAATTGACTGGCACCAAGTGAAGAAAATAGCCCGGCATGCAAGGAATGAGCTCCAACCCGCACAATTGACTGGCACCCAGCCCGTGCCAATCAAGAGCCCAGCCCAAAATGGACAGACCCAGGAGCCGGTCTGTTTCTTGGCGCGTGCACAACACGCGGGTGCCCAGGCGAGTAGCCAACAGGCTTTGCAGGCGGTGGGGCCCGCGTGCAGGTCAACATGCAGTCATCCGGCTGAGGGCTACGTGGCCCTCCTCAGAGTCGTTGGATTTCCAACGGCTAGTTTTTGTAGGCCGTTGGATTTCCAACGGTAAAAATTTAAATTTTAAATTGGATCGTCCGATCACAGATCAACGGTCCACGTTTATTTCACCAAAAATTAAAAAAAAAAAAAAAAAAAAAAAGGCCCAACGGTCAGAAATTTGACCGTTGGCCACATGGCATCGTGCTGGCTGTTGGATTTGATTATTTTTCAAATCCAACGGTCCAGATTAATTACAACATTAAAATTTATTAAAAATTAATTAAAAATGTCAAAAAAAATTTAAAAAATACAGAAAAATTTTAAAAAATTAATTTTTTTTTCTATAAATACCTAACCCTCATCTTCCACTTTACACCACATTTCAATATTTTCTACACTTTCTACATTTGAATATTTTGTACACTTTGAGAGAAAAAAATGACTTCGTGGAAGCTCAGTGAAGATGTTACGTTGTGTGAATGTTGAGTTCGCACTACTCATGATCCGATTACGGGTAATGAGATGGATAAGCGAGAAATGTGGAGTAAAATTACGAAATCGTTCAACGATGTACATGGAAAAGATGCCAGATCTAGTCAAGGTCTTCAAGGTCGTTGGAAAAAACTCAATGCATCCTTTACTTGTTGGAAAAACGCCCTCTCTCATGCTTCTGGTAATTTGCGTAGTGGGACAAGTTTAGCGGATGAGGTAACAATATTTTTATTTATTTATATGCATTCCACCCACATCAATATTTTAATTTATGTAATTTTTATGTAATATGCATTCCACGCCCATCAATATTTTATGTAATTTCTATGTAATTTCTTATGTAATTTATATGCATTCCACGTCCATCAATATTTTAATTTATTTATTTGTGTTACACCCGTATTTTTTAATACTATCTTATCCCACATTTTTATAGACACTACAAGCACAAGCATTCTACAAGGCAAAGAACCATAACAAATCATTCAACAAATGGGAATGTTGGCAAATTGTCAAAGATTGCCCTAAATACAAAATTGTGGCAACCGGTCCAGAAGTTGTCATGCACGGTATGGGTCTACACAGTTCGCCAGAAGCAGACACAGCCGAACAAGAAGCCAACACATTTGAAGACACGGAAGGGACGCCTGAACAAGTGCCAGAGACCCAACCGACTCGTCAGTTCCTCAGGCCTCAAGGTAAAAAGGCATCAAAGAAAAAAGGTAGTTCTTCCAAAAATGACTACACTAAATATATGGAGGAACTTACTCGTCAAGGTGAACTGAACATGGCATGAGAAAAGGCTAGAGATGAGGAAAAAGCTAGAGATATGGCAGCACTTATTGCAGCTACTGAGGCTCGTGATGCGGCGGCTGAGAGACAAAAAGAAATAGTTAATCGAGAGAACGAGATGATTAGAGAAGCACTTCATCGAGAGAATGAGATGCTTAGAGAAGAAATGATGGCTCAAACAGATCGTGACACTATGAACAAGTCTCTAATAGGACTGTCTCCGAATTCAAAATATTTTTGGACTTCAGAAAAAAGAGATGTCATGCGAAGGAGGCGTGCAAGAGATGCCGAAACAAGTCAAGGGGGTTCCAGCTACATAAATCCTTGCAACCAAGATCCTAGCACCACATATCCTAACTCCACAGACTTTATTTAATTTCTTATGTAATTTCTTATTTATTTTTAGAACTTTATTTAATTTCTTATGTAATTTCTTATTTATTTTTAGAACTTTATTTAATTTGTTATGTAATTTCTTATTTACTTTTAGAACTTTATTTAATTTCTTATGTAATTTCTTATTTATTTTTAGAACTTTATATAATTTCTTATGTAATTTCTTTTTTACTTTTAGAACTTTATTTAATTTCTTATGTAATTTCTTATTTATTTTTAGAACTTTATATAGTTTCTTATGTAATTTCTTATTTACTTTTAGAACTTTATTTAATTTCTTATGTAATTTCTTATTTATTTTTAGAACTTTATTTAATTTCTTATGTAAACTTAAAACACCAAATAAAATTACATAAAACACCATTTAAACTTAAAATACCATTTAAACTTAAAATTACAAAAACTCACCATTTAAACTTAAAACACCAAATAAAATTACATAACCTCACCATTTAAACTTAAAAAAAAAGCAAACACACTAAATAAGATTACTTAAAAAACAATACACTTTATTCTTCAACCACAAGCCTTATTTTAATTATCTTCGCCTTCGTGCAATCTCCACTGATGGTCAATCAAGTCATTCTGGCGGGCTATGTGCCAGTATGGCTCTTGCAATGAAGTGTATCGTTGAATGATCAATTCATTGTAACGTCCATCCCGTTCCAACGGCTCGTGTTGCACGGGATCTTCGGTCCGGTCATGAGCATAGTAGATTTGTGTTCTTGAGTTTTTCATCGGATCCGGCTCGTATTCATCAACGGCATCATAATCATACTCGTCTTCAACAATCATGTTGTGGAGAATAATACACGTCATCATGATGGATCGAAGAGCCTCGACATCAAACATTCTAGCTGCAGCCCTGACAATGGCCCAACGAGCTTGCAAGATACCAAAACAACGCTCGACATCCTTCCTACACCCTTCTTGACACTTTGCGAAGTGTTTCTCTTTTTCACTCTGCGGGTGTGGCACTGTTTTGACAAATGTTGACCACCTTGGGTAAATACCATCTGCAAGGTAGTATGGTCCCTCGTATTTATTACCATTAACCCAATATGTGCATCTCGGCCCACGCCCTTGTAGCAATTCGTCAAACACTGGAGATCGGGCAAGAACGTTTAGGTCATTCTGAGCTCCTGGAACACCAAAAAAAGCATGCCAAATCCATGTATCAAAAGAAGCCACCGCTTCCAGAATGATGCTTTTGGCTCCTTTTCTATCGCCATAAGCTCCTTGCCATGCACTTGGACAGTTTTTCCATGTCCAGTGCATGCAGTCGATGCTTCCAATCATGCCAGGGAAGCCTCGCATCTCAC